CCCAAAACTGAGTTCTCTTTTAGAAAAAATTTTTCAATCGACTTCCTAGTTGATCACCTCCCTCCAATCTTGCCGACCTCGGAACATCCCAGAATATTCATTTCTTAATCAATAAGTTTATTATTATCAAAAAGAAAACAAAACAGATTTTATTTGTGATAAATATAATTAAATAAAATAGTTGAAATGAATAATTTATTTAAGAATCAAATAAAAAATCAGTTAGGAAATAAGTAAATATATGTTGGTTTTTTAATTCTAGAAAATGTTAATAATATCTAATGAAACAAGTCAAATTGAACGAATTGTTGTTAATATTGATAATTCTCTTGAATGTTTATTAAGAGAAATTCGTTATATAACTGGTGAACCTCTTTATTCAAAAATTCCACCAAAATTTCGTGAATTAATTCCACTTTTAGAGAATGAAAGACTTCTTCGGTAACTATGATTCTTTTTATTTAAAATAAATAAAAAAAAACTTTTTAGTTTAAATGTTGAACGTCTTCGATCAATAGCAAGTAAATATAATTATTTAATTGAACATATGGATTTAGAAGAAAGACTTATTTTTGAACCAAAATTAAATAAAATTGATCAAGTATTTAACATTTATTATTTTTAATTTAAATAAAAAACGAAAAAAAAAAAATTTCTTTTAGGTTATAAATCGTGGTTTAAATGAAATAACATGGAAAACTCTTTATTTATCTGATTATATTGAACAAGCATATGGTTTAATAAATCTTGATGCAGCAAAAGCACTTGATATTGTTCATCATGATGTTTCATCTATTAAACAAATGGCTTTTAATTGGTCTCTTATTCAAGCTGATATTTTTATTCCATATCAATTATATACATTTCAACAAGCACTTCAAACACATAAGTTAATAATTTGCTTTTTTTTTTTTTGGTTTTTTTAAAAATTTTTATTTTCTTGTTAGAAATGTTCAATCAAAATTTAATGAAAAATTAATAATTGATGGTCATAGAATTCATTTTTTAGTTGATAATATAGCTAAAGTTTGTTTATATCTATTGTTATTTTTAATAAAACAAAAAAAAATCTTCTTTTCTTTTGTTTAGGTTGTTGCTGTTAGTTCAGCATCTCCATCTTGGTTAAATTATTTAGATTATTTGAATTCACTTATTTTAAATGGAATTAAAGCAACAAGTTTAATTACAATGAAAAATATGTTACTTGCTATGACTAATCAAGATCAACAATTTATAAGTATAGTTGTAGAATTGAATGATTGTCAATTATCATTTGAACCTCCACTTGTTCCATTAACAAGTGAATTAAGTCTTGGAGAAATGTTAATTGAATGGATTAATTCATATATTAATCGTGGAGATTTAATTTATGTACTTGGAGATGATAAAACAAGAAATTATTCTCAATTAATAAATCAAGATTCATTAATTATTGAATTACGTGAAAAATTAACTATTTTAATTGAAGAAACTTGTTTAGAATCATTAAAATTATTTGAAGCTTTTTCTCAATATTCATTTTTATATAAATTA